CCCTCCCTGACCCAACTCGGACTCCCCCAGCCTCACTTCCGAGGCCCCCGAAGAGTCTGGGGTCCACGACTTCCCTGCCCCTCTCACCTGGGCTGGGCTGCCCCACAGAAGAACCTCGATCGCCCCATTTAAGGGAGAGGACAGCAAGAAGGGGGCACCGGCTCAACCTCTTTCGCCTCTTTTCTCCCCGCTCTTCCCCCTCGGCCTCTGGACCGCCCGGCCCTGCAGTCTCGGACCCCCGCCCTGGTTTTCGAGCACGTCAACAACACGGATTTCAAGGTGAGGAAGTGCCCCGGGAGCGTGTGCGTCACTGGCTCTGGGCCCTGGACTTCAACTCCCAGGATTCCCCAGCCAGACTGCCCTCCGAAGGTGGCCACGGATGAGAAGCGGGGGCCTGGAGGGCGGCTGGGAGCCGGTTCTGCGCCTTCGTTGTCTCCTGAGCTGGGAGGGCTGCAGGAATCCTGGAGCTGGCTCAGAGAATCCAACTGGTCACACTGGTCTGAACTGGCCTCCCTTTCCTTTTTCTCCTCCAGTTCCCGTACTGAGTCTCAGGCCTATGCAAGGGTAGAGGGAGAGCAGAGTGAGGGAGGGAAAGAAAGAAAGAAAGAAAGAAAGAGAGAGAGAGAGAGAGAGAGAGAGAGAGAAAGAAGGAAGGAAGGAAGGAAGGAAGGAAGGAAGGAAGGAAGGAAGGAAGGAAGGAAGGAAGGAGGGAGGGAGGGAGGGAGGGAGAGGAGAGGAGAGGAGAGGAGGCGGTCCTGGGCGGGAGGCCGGTGGAAGAGAGATGGGGCCCTTAGCAGACTCTTGAGTCCCCGGGGAGGGGGACACCCCAGTAGACCAAAGCAGGCCTGTGGGTGACTTCCTCTTGATCAGTGTTTCTCAACCTTGACCATTTTAAGGCATGTGGACTTCAACTCCCAGAATTCCACAGCCAGCAACGCTGGCTGTGGAATTCTGGGAGTTGAAGTCCACATGCCTTAAAATGGTCAAGGTTGAGAAACACTGCTCTCGATGATTTCTAGACCTCCAGGGTCCCTTCCAGCCCTTGGAGTCTATGGTTCCCGTTGCCCAGCATGATGAGAGCAGGGCCAGTGGGGGGGGGAAGTCCTCCAGGTTGGACCGTTGCAGGTGCAGACGTTCGCTCTTGACCCTAAAAACTTCCTAGGAACCGTCCTGAATCATCCCGGGTAGTTGGGGAGACCTTCTGGCCCACTTTTCACGCTTGCGTAGCCGAGGGGGGGGAAGAGATCTTTGCTCTTAAAAGGAACACCCTGAGCGTGGAGAAGGATTTGCTAACCGTCGCCGTCCCCCCCCCCTTTCTCCCCTTACAGCAATTGTATCAGACGCTCTCAGATTTTGATATTCGATTCTACATGTATGAAATCTTGAAGGTAAGAATCGGGCGGGCAACTCGGGGGGCAAAGTCTCCTCCCGGGGCGCAGGAGAGGCTGAGGGCTGGGGGGGGGAGTTTGCCTCTCCTCCCTGGGCAATCCAGATCCTTACCCCAGGAGTGCAAGATTGGCCCGGGGAATAGCCAGGAAGCGTGAGTTGGCCCCGTGGGGGTCTATGGCGCCCGGTCCGGCGTTCACAAAGAGGCCGGGGGCTCAGGTAAGGAGAGCAGAAGACGCCTGAAGGGCAGTGTTTCTCAACCTGGACCATTTTAAGGCATGGGGACTTCAACTCCCAGAATTCCACAGCCAGCGTTGCTGCCTGTGGAATTCCTGGGAGTTGAAGTCCCCATGCCTTAAAATGGTCCAGGTTGAGAAACACTGCCCTTAAGGTCTCCTGTTCAGTCCTTGGCAGTGCCAGCTAAGCGGTGAGGGGGTGTGGAAGAGGCTTGGAAGAGCTGCCCCCCCCCCCATGAGAGGAGATGGTAGCGGCTAACTTCACCAGCCGGCTTGGTGTGTTTGCGGCATCCGAGCTGTGTGTACAGTGGGTTTAACTGGGACACAGGGACCTGTCAGTACAAGGGCAAAAGGCGAAGCCCCGTCAGCACTGCGGTTAGTTAGGTAAGGGAATTCTAGCCCTAGAGCAGGAGGGGGGGGTGGGTGGGGGTGGGGGAGGGAACCATGGCCCCTGGGTGACTTGTGGAATTCAAGTAGCAGAATTCCTGAGCCAGCTGGGAATTCTGAGGGTGGCCGTCGTAGGAATTCTGGGAGTTGAAGTCCACAAGTCATCAAGGGGCCATGGTTCCCCCCCCCACCCTAGAGGCTCTCTTCTCTTCTCTCTTCTCTTCTCTTCTCTTTCCTCCTCTCTCCTCTCTTCTCTTCTCTTCTCTTCTCTTTCCTCCTCTCCACGCCTCTCTTCTCTCGTCTTCTCTCTTCTCTTCTCTTTCCTCTTCTCTTCTCTCATCTTCTCTCCTCTCTTCTCTTCTCTTTCCTCCTCTCCACGCCTCTCCTCTCTCTTCTCTCGTCTTCTCTCCTCTCTTCTCTTTCCTCTCCTCTCTCTTCTCTTCTCTTCTCTTCTCTTCTCTTCTCTCATCTTCTCTTCTCTCTTCTCTTCTCTTCTCTTCTCTTCTCTCTTCTCTTCTCTTCTCTTTCCTCCTCTCTCTTCTCTTCTCTTTCCTCCTCTCTCCTCTCCTCTCTTCTCTTTCCTCCTCTCCACTCCATTGATATTCCCCCCCCCCCAAAAATCTGGCTGAACGCAACTCCGGGCGACGTGCAACCAACACTTAAAAACCACCTGTTAGCTTTTTAAAAATAACCTTTGAAATATAAATAAAAGCAACATTGCAGGAGAAGAATCTCCCGTAGCTCCGTGGCATCCATCGAGGTTGCTGGGAAAGCCACACTTGGGGGGCTTTCCAGAAGGCTGGCCTGGGGGGGGGCTAAATTCGTCCTTGGGGGAGAGGGGGAGGAGGCTCCAGAGGGCAGGAGCCGCAGCAGAAAAACCGCACCGTCTGGTCAGGTGGAACTGTTTAGCAGACTGGACCCACCGCAGATTCCTCCTGCCAGAGCTGAGCAGAGGGGGGTCCCTGGGTAGATGCGGCCCCTCCGATGGCGAGTCTGGCCAGCTTGGCCTTCTCTCTGGAAGACGGGATCTTTCTGTCCCCGAGCTGTGATTGGTTCTCCTTCGGCAGGCTTGGAAGATCCCCTTGACAAGCCAGGCCAGGGATTCACTTGCCCTGTTATAGGCCAGAGTCCCCCCAACCCAGGCGTAGGCCACCTGGGCTCTTTTATGACTGGTGGACTTCAACTCCCAGAATTCCTGAGCCAGCCATGCTGAGGGGAAAGGGAGAGGTTTCCAAGCTGAGCCAGGCTGGCTGAGGAATTCTGGGAGTTGAAGTCCACCAGTCATGAAGGGAGCCATAGTTCCCCCATGCTGGCTCAGGAATTCTGGGAGTTGAAGTCCAGGAGTCATAAAAGAGCCCAGGTTGCCTACCCCTGGTCTAGGACTACCTGTATAGGCCAGGAAATAGCAGTATAATTCCCTCAGATCGACATCACTCCCATTGCAGTGGTGGACGCCAAAATTAATTCCTAAAAACATTAAAAGTTACTCGTGTTATTTTAGTCTTCTCACTTGAAATCAAGTCAGATCTTAGATTTGAAAACAAATTTAAAAAACAAATCTCAGGATTTAAAAAACAAATCTCAGAATAGGTTTCTCTATAGGTATAGTATAGGTCAGGGGTAGGCAACCTTGGCTCTTTTATGAGTGGTGGACTTCAACTCCCAGAATTCCTGAGCCAGCCACGCTGAGGGGAAAGGGAGAGGTTTCCAAGCTGAGCCATGCTGGCTCAGGAATTCTGGGAGTTGAAGTCCACCAGTCATAAAGTTGCCAAGGTTGAGGACCTCTGATTTAGGGCAGGGGTAGGCAACCATGGCTCTTTTATGACTCATGGACTTCAGCTCGCAGAATTCCTGAGCCAGCATGGAAACCTCTCCCTTTCCCCTCAGCATGGTTGGCTGGGGAATTCTGGGAGTTGAAGTCCACGAGTCATAAAGTTGCTAAGGTTGGGGGCCCCTGCTATAGAGTCCTTGGTGTTGTTTGAGCTGGGTTGCTTTCTTGCAGATGTTTCATGACCCAAACGAGTTGATCAATAATGATGTTACCTAGTTTGGTTCATGAAACATCTGCAAGAAAAACCACCCAGCTCAGAGAGCACCAGGGACCCCACAGCCCTCCCCCGACCCCCTCCTCCTCCTCCTCCTCTCCATAAACCCCACCCCTTTCTAGCACTACAGATGTTACCTAGTTTGGCTCATGAGACATCTACAGGAAAACCACCCAGCTCAGACAGCACCAGGGACCCCTCCTCTCTTTCCTCCTCTTCCATCCCCTCCCCCAATTGCTAGAGCAGGGCGAGCTTATCACCGTCCGAAGCCATGAGGTCTCTTGGTTGATGCTCCCCAGAAAGTCCCAGCGGCTCGGCCCGGCCGTTGGCCCACCTGGCAGGTCTGAAGTTGCCTCTGGGTGTCCTCTGCTGGGGCAGAGTCCAGGGGTCTCCTCCTCGACCCACTCTCTTCTCCCCCAACCCTCACAGGCTCTGGATTACTGCCACAGCATGGGGGTCATGCACCGGGACGTCAAGCCACACAACGTGATGATCGACCACGAGCATCGGAAGGTGAGGCCGCTGCCGTTGAGACCGAGGTCCAGAGCGCGGCAGGGCGGCCAGCAGGCCCTGCGGGGCAGCGGTCGGCTGTCCTGGTCAGAAGCAAGGGCCGAGAGGAGAGCGGTTCCTGGGAGAGACGGTGGCCCAAGAGTCACCCAGGGACGCCACTCCAGAGCTTCCTGAATCCTAACTCGCATCTCTGGTAGCTTAGCTGGCTTTGGCCAGCTCTGTCATGTAGTCTAGATCAGGGGTCTTCAAACTTGGCCCTTGGATGACTTGTGGACTTCAACTCCCAGAATTCCTCAGCCAGCGTGCCTGGCTGAGGAATTCTGGGAGTTGAAGTCCACGTCATCAAAGGGCCAAGTTTGAAGACCTCTGTGTTAGACCATGATGACTGGGGGATTCTGGGAGTTGAAGTCCACAGGTTCTTAAAGTGGCCTCAGTTGAACACCCTTGCATATCAGACCATGTTGGCTGAGGAATTCTGGGAGTCAAAGTCCACAGGTTGTTAAAGTGGCCACAGTTGAACACCTTTTTGTTAGACCAAGGCTCTTCAAACTTGGCCCTTTTCTGGCTTGTGGACTTCAACTCCCAGAATTCCTCAGCCAGCCATGCTTTCGGTCCATGCAGTCTAGATCAGGGCTCTTCAAACTTGGCCCTTTGATGACTTGTGGACTTCAACTCCCAGAATTCCTCAGCCAGCGTGCCTGGCTGAGGAATTCTGGGAGTTGAAGTCCATGTCATAAAAGGGCCAAGTTTGAAGACCTCTATGTTAGACCATGCTGGCTGGGGAATTCTGGGAGTTGAAGTCCACAGGTCTTAAAGTGGCCACAGTTGAACACCTTTGGGCTAGACCAGGGGTGTCAAACTCACCACGTGACGTGACGTATCATAACTTTTTTCCCATTGCCGGCAATGGGGTGGGCGCAGCTTCTGTATGATGACACCCCTGGGTTAGACCATGTTAGCTGAGGAATTCTGGGAGTTGAAGTCCACAGGTCTTAAAGTGGCCATGGTTGGAGACCCTTGATCTACAGGGATCCCTTTCTGAGGGGGGGGGGGCTTCTGGGACTTCTTTTTCCTGGAGTGATGAATCCAGGCCTTCCCAATTCAGCTCCGTGCTTCCCAGTCCTGGACCAGGCTAGCATCTGCTTCCAGATGCTGGTCTGTTGTCTCCTCTGCTCTTTGGAAACAAACAAAGACTGGCTGGAAAAATTGATTCAGTGCTCAGAAGCTTTTTCCCCCCTAATTTTTCAACTCCTTCCCCAATTCTACGGCCTGCTGCAGCTGCGCCTGATCGACTGGGGACTGGCAGAATTCTACCACCCGGGACAAGAATATAACGTCAGAGTGGCTTCCCGGTACTTCAAGGGACCGGAGCTTTTGGTGGATTACCAGGTAAGCTGGCAGCTCAGAAGGGGGGCTGCCTGGGGGGAGGAATCAGGGAGGAGCTGCAGCCGAGGTGGGGGACAGATGCAGCCTCAGCTCTGCTCGTCCACCCCCCTGCCTGCCGTTCCCAGTTGTTCCAGTCCGTCGATGGGTTGGGAAAGACCTTGAGCCACTGGGCCACCTCAGGTGCCCAAGAAGTGTTAGTACCACTTTACAAGGCCTTGATAAGGCCACACTTGGAATAACTGCATCCAGTTTTGGTTGCCACGATATAAAAAAAGATGTGGAGACTCTGGAAAGAGTGCAGAGAAGAGCAACAAAGATGATTAGGGGACTGGAGGCTAAAGCATATAAAGGACGGTTGCAGGAACTGGGGATGTCTAGTTTAAATAAGGACTGGGGGAGACATGATAGCAGCCTTCCAATATCTGAGGGGCTCTCACAGAGAATAGGAGAGAAGCAACCTGGAACTGAGGGGAAATTCCCTGATGGGGAGAAAATTAACCAGTGGAACAACTTGCCTCCAGAAGTCGTGGGTGCTCCAACACTGGAAGGTTTTAAGAACAGATTTGGACCCCCATTTGTCCGGAATGGTCTAGGCCAGGGCTAGTCAACCTGGGCTCTTTCATGACTTGTGGACTTCAACTCCCAGAATTCCTGAGCCAGCCTGGCTCAGCTTGGAAACCTCCCCCTTTCCCCTCAGCATGGCTGGCTGAGGAATTCTGGGAGTTGAAGTCCACGAATCATGAAGGGGGGCATAGTTCCCCCATGCTGGCTCAGGAATTCTGGGAGTTGAAGTCCACCAGTCATAACATTGCCTACCCCTGGTCTAGGGTCTCCTGCTTGAGCAGGGGGTTGGACTAGAAGACCACCGAGGTCCCTCCCAGCTCTCTAAATTCTTCCATGAGAAGAAGAATCCACCAGGCCCGAGTCTCTTGAAGAGAGGGAACTTTCGGCAGGAGCTTCTCTGCCAGCGGAAGGACCTTCCTTCGGGAGTCCAGGCCCTTCTTTGCATATTGGCCAGAAGGCCATCCTGGCAGGGGCTGGTGAGAGGAAACTAGGCCCCTGAGAATCCAGAGGGAGTGGAGGGGGCACCGGAGATTGCGCGGGGAGAGGGCACCACCTGAAGGTCAAGTCTCCGCTATCCTGCCTGGGCTGCTGGGGGGGGGGGTAGCCATGGGGGGTCTGCCTGCCTTGCTTCTGCCCCACGCCCCCCCCCTCACCCTGCTCTCCCTGCAGATGTACGACTACAGCCTGGACATGTGGAGCCTAGGCTGCATGCTTGCCAGCATGGTCTTCCGCAAGGAGCCCTTCTTCCACGGGCACGACAACTACGACCAGGTGAGCCCCCCCTCGGCCCCTGCCAGCCAGGACCAGCCGTGCCCCGTCTTCCCTTGCTGGCGGCTCCTGTAGGGACACCGGCCAGCTCTGCTCACCCTCCAGAGTGCCCTGCGCCCTGCTCCCGCCTTCACACTCACAGGAGACCAGAGTTGTGAGTTGTGGGGGGGGTGGGGGAGGAGGCCCCGGACAGGAGCCCTGGGGTCGCCCTCCAATGGGCACAGAAACAGGGGAGGGTCCTTGCAGAATTCTCCATCACAGGTGGGCCGTGATTGCCCCAAAAGGCAACTGGACTTCCTTGTTTTTCGTTTTTCGTTTCGCTTTGGAATCGTTTTGCTTCTCATCCAAGAACTGGAGAAGCTTCTGGGATGTGAAGCAAAATGTTTTCAAGGGAAAATGGCTTCCCTCCATCGGGCTTGGCTTGCCAGAAGGTCGCAAAAGGGGATCACCTCAACCCGGGACGCCGCAACCGTCACAGATACGAATCAGGGGCCAAGTGTTCAAATGTTGGGGATGCTGCAACCGTGGTTAAACGTGAAAAACTTTCATAGGCCGCTTTTTTCCCCCCCCCAGTGCTGTTGTAAGTTAGAACGGACACTAAGCCGGTGATTGTAAGCCAAGGAGTTACCTGTGCTGTAGAAGGCCACCTGGGGGGCCCAGGAAGAGAGCCTTTTCTTCAGGGCCCCCACCCTGCGGAACATTGGACACCCCCCCCCCCTTGAATTAGATTGGCTGATTTAACTCCACTAGCCTTAAAGACGCGGTTTTGCCCACCGGATTTTTAAATCTGGATAGGGGGTAGTTCCTGCACCGCGATTTTGTTGATAGATGTCGGTGTTCTTTTTACAGGCTTGGCTGCCGATTGTGTAGCAGGGTGTTTGTGCAATTGTACTACCCTTGCACTGTCCTTTGCTTTTTGCATTGTTTTGAATGGCCATCAGCCTCACATCAGTCGTGTGGTTGAGGCAGATTGAAATTTTATTTCTCCCCTCTTTCATTGGCGCATTGGCTATAAAACAGGGGTCTTCCAACTTGGCCCTTTGATGACTTGTGGACTTCAACTCCCAGAATTCCTCAGCCAGGATGTTTTAAGACAGGGGTCTTCCAACTTGGCCCTTTGATGACTTGTGGACTTCAACTCCCAGAATTCCTCAGCCAGGATGCTTTAAGACAGGGGTCTTCCAACTTGGCCCTTTGATGACTTGTGGATTTCAACTCCCAGGATTCCTCAGCCAGGCACGCGTGCCTGGCTGAGGAATCCTGGGAGTTGAAGTCCACAAGTCATCAAAGGGCCAAGTTGGAAGACCCCTGCTTGTGGACTTCAACTCCCAGAGCGTGCCTGGCTGAGGAATTCTGGGAGTTGAAGTCCACAAGTCATCAAAGGGCCAAGTTGGAAGACCCCTGCTATAAAACGCCCTGCTCTGTCCTTGCCGCTGCCGGGCGGTGACCCCCTTCCCACTTCTGAATCTTTCCCCAGTTGGTGCGGATCGCCAAGGTGTTGGGCACCGAGGATCTCTACGACTACATCGACAAGTATAATGTGGAACTGGACCCCCGTTTTAACGACATCCTGGGCAGGTGGGTGAGCAGAGCCCCCTCCCAGGCCCCCTCCCCTTGGGCGGGCCGTGGGCTGTCAAGGCTGTGAAGGGCAGCACTGGGAATCTTCCCCCTTTCCCTCCGGGGCAGGCATTCCCGCAAGCGATGGGAGCGCTTCGTGCACAGCGAGAATCAGCACCTGG